CAGTTTTGCACACACTGGCGCAAAGCTGGTGGCAGTGTGGTCTCCTAGGAGCGCTCTCCTCCATGTGGAAATGGCCCTCCAGCACTGTCCATTTGTCCCCTGGGCACACTGTGTCCGCATCTCAGTCATTTGATGAGCACCTACCCTAATGACTTCATCTTTCAGCATCTCTGCAAAGAGGGAGGTGCTGGGGGCTAGGGAGATGGCTCAGTGGAATAAGTACTTGCCTGGCATAATTCTCAGATAGTAAGACACTTCCCTGTGGGTCCACTGAGCTTCAACTCCGAGAACGGCTTCTCTGACCAGGAGCCCATTCACTCATTCAGCCAGATGTGGGGGCTGTAGCTGCAGTTGGTGAAGAGGCTGGGGCAGGAAGAGCCCTTGAATTCAGGAGTTTGGGACCTGCCTGAGCCAAAAAAGCCACACGCTTAGCCCTGGTCTAAACAGAACAAAATGAAACAAGAATACTGTGTTAAGTTCACCTCAAAAAAGTAAAATAGGGCTGGCGAGCTACCTCAGTAGTCTAAAGCACCTGTTTAGGCAAGCCTAGGCAGGTGCGGGGGGGGGGGCATGGTTTGATCCCTGGCATGTGCCACACCAGCTCCACCCTCAGGGTGGGCTGAGCCAGCCAAAAAAAAGTAAAGCTGTAGTGAAGCCGTCTACAAACTAAATGTCCCTGCATTCATATAATTTATAAGCCAGAGGGAGGGAACAGATGAAACCAATTTCTAAATGTAATAAGTCCTAGCTCCCTCTTTGGGGAGAGGGTGTTTTGTGGGCATCTTCCCCCCCACACACACACACAACCGGGGATTGAACTCAAGCCCTTGTGCTTGCCAGGGAAGCACTTATTCCACTGAGTCATCTCCCCAGCCCCTACAGGCATCATTTTGTTTTGTTTTTTGAATAGTAAAATAAACACTTTATTATATAACAAAAGTAAAGTTTTCAAAAATTTACATCAACAAAACCAAAAGCCGTTCTGGGCACGATGAACAATCTTTGCACTTCTCCGGCATCTGACGGTACACACGTGGTCAAACGTGCTGCCTAAGAAGAGCGGGGCCACCGTGACTGCGACAGTAGCTAAACGAAGTGTGAGATGCGGACCGTGAACTGCTCCCGATAGCGGCGAGGCAGGGGAGGGAAGAAAGGCGCTCAGGCTCCAAGCCGGGCCGATGCATTTAGGACCCAGGTCCTGCCTGCCCGAAAGTCAAGTCACCCTGATCCGCGGTCCCATTTCCTTCTCTCTGGCTTGATGCTTTCTTTTGCTTTGGTCTTCTTTTCACCAAAGTCTTGGTCCTTGGTTTCTGTGTCCTTTCCGAAGCCTTCGCAGGAATCCAGGTAGACCACGTAGCTCCGCGCTCCTCTCTTCGGTTGGCTGCAGCCGTCATTCCAAGTCTTCATTGTGGAGCGCGCGCTTTCTGTGTCATCTCCTACATCCTGTGATTCTCTGGTCCAAAGCAAACTGCTATCTTCTTTATTACTGTTTGGTTTCTCGAGGCAGGGTCTTACTATGTAATCCGGTCTGCCCGTTAACTCACGGTGTACAGACTGGCCTCAACTCGCGATCCCCCCCGCCTCAGCCTCCTGAGTTTAAAGCTCACAGGTGTGCGCCACCACGCATGGGTGCTGTGAGATCTTTTAAAACCCAGACCTTCCTCCTGGGTCACGAGGCCCGCGTGCTCCCTCACCTCAACAGCCCAGATTCCAGCCGCCCCCTACACCCTCTCCCAGCTCGCCCAGTCGCCCCAGCGTGCCGGGTCTCTGCAGCGCCCTGCAGCGCTCTGCAGCAGGACTCCGGGGAGCAGGAGCACACAACGCCCGGCTGCTGCGCATGCGCGAATACCGGACACGCCCCCGACCGGTGCTGGCGCGGTTTGTTTTCTTTTGGTCGCGCGGGCCTCCGTCTGGCCTCAGCCTCAGCCGGCCGAGGACGCTGTCCCTGGATGCGCGGTGGCTGAGCCGTCCCCGGTGGTGGGAACCGCGAGGGGCCGCGCGGCCCGGGCTGTGGAGACCTCGCGAGCTGGGGCGCCCTGTTCCGCCGCCCCGCAGGCGACTCCTCCCCCGGCGAGCAGTTGGTGCCGCCGAGACCGAGGCTTCACCGAGCGAAGCGGAGCGCGCGCCGCGGACGGGGCCGGGGGAGTTGTGGGAGCCGGGGGG